CAAGAAGAAGTAGAAAAAGTAAAACATTGACACGGACGACGGACAATCACTCATATGATAAGCTCCGCTCGACAAAGTCGACAGCGGAGCTAAAAAGTTAAATCACTATCCATATAAATGTAGTAAGTTAAATCTGAAATCTGTACAATATACACATCACATATTACCTGTACTGAACTCAGTACATGACAAACTGCCTGTGTATGACAAGGTGTATGCTATGTGTAAAATGATAACATTTATAATGTTATTAAATAAAAGGGAAAATCAACAATAATTTTAGTTGAATACATTTCTTATCCACCAAATGAAAAAGTTTAAGATAAAACTTAACAGAAAAAAACATTAATAAAAGCACCGAAAAATGTTGATAAAATCCATTTTTTAAGTTGTGTTTCAGTTAAATCTCCTACAAGTTTATCTCACAAGTGCTCATGAAATTTTGTATGCATAGAAACAAACTTCCTAAACACTTTGTGTTGCTATAAATCATTTCTATATTATCATATACCATTCCATTGCAACAACTTATTCAAAAATAATGTAAACGTAGCAAAGTGTAAATTTTGACAAAATGTAGATATGAAAGGTTATAATTCAAATTAGAATATGCTTCTGTAGTAAAGCAAATTATGGGAGGGGCACTGATATGCACTTACAATAATTTGTACCGGTAATATAAAAGACCTGTGAAATAATACAATCTAGGATCTCTATTTCGTAATCTGAATTGGATTTCTATCACTGTAAATTAAAACGCCAGTAGTCACTCAGTGTGCATTTCATTACAGTAAATAACTATTGTATATGTCACATGGAACCCACATGAAATGAGAAACATGATGACTATGGCGATTTAAATTGGCAATATGGACAAAAACATATATTTTTTTTTTAATATTGATGTTTGATACTCCATACTCAAATCGGATTATGATTTAATATGGGCTAAAATTTTGCAAAACACACATCAGTATTTGATGGATCAAAACCACTAATTGCATGTGCAGTGATTGTACATAATATAACAAGCGGTGCACATGCATATTAGAAAATGTCATTATTTCATTGAACGAATACTCTGATGTGTGCTACAAGAACAGAGTTTTCGGTTATAAATCATAACCCAATGTATTCTTGAACTTACAGTATCGAACAATATTAAAAACAAAAAATGCATGTTTTCGTCCATATTGCATAATAACTCGTTAACACAGAAAATTGCTATTCAAATCTATCTGCGACAAACAGTCGCTGGCACCACAATTTCAACAACAAAAAAATACAACAAAAATAGTAATATAAACTGCCGAGGTAATAAGCAGGCAGTAGCATGAAACAAGCGGCACCAATTTAATGTAATTAACTAATACAAACTATCTTTCAAGCAACAGTGGTATAATATTTGAAAAAATACACCCCCCAAAAAAACAAGCAGTTTATTGTAGGCGTTCTAGGGAACTAATGCCCAAATTTTTGGAATATTAAAATCAAACAGCAGCTACGGTAATCACTCATAGAGTCATGGTCATGCCACACTTGAGCAAAATTTGAATTTGTAAACAAAGATTTCTCCACAACTTAATGCACTTTTATCTGGTTGCGATGTGCATTAAATACTGACTTTATGACTCCTTGGAGTCCTTCAAAGCAATATATAATCATTTCAGGAACTACCTGCGATAGGTAAACTGAGTCATTTTTTTTTTGTATTCATATTTTTTTGTGCAACGATCATTAGTTGCTATCTTTGTAAATTTGGGACTCATATCTTGTGCATGTGTGGCACGATCCAACCACCATCACCAAGATCTTGACAAACAAGAGTACAAGTTATTCCAATGAATAACAAGTTACTTTCAATGAACATCTTGCTGCATTGAATAATTTATTCATAATAGCCAGCTGTATAACATGATTTACTATGGTTATTTTCCACACATCTGCAGTTTGGGAGTAACTAGAAATATCCTTATTGAAATACAATGCAAATACTAGGCAGGATCTGCTAGATTTCATTAATTTTTTTTTCTACTACCTTCACGTTTTTTATAACATGAAAGAATTATTGCAAACTTCCACTTAAAAATATAATATTCTTAATTCCCAATAAAAAACTGATATTTGGGAATCCGTGAAAACGAAAAGTTGTAAAATTAACTCATGTTTGGTAAACAGCTGCTAGGAATCAGACAAATGACAATCGTAACATATTAACATGATTCTAGAAAACTACAAAATAATCAAAACTACAGTCAATTTTTGTGACGATGGTCTGTTCAATCCAAAAACATATACTACATAACTCAAAGAGGAAATCAATAATGATGCATCTCTTCATCCACAGTTTGCTCCGTCGACTGCCTAATTTCACAACTATCTGCTAAATGAGCAGACTATGATCAACTGGTACAAATATAACATCATTCGGTTCAACATAACATTTCAATAAACACTTTTTTTGCTGACCTTCATTTGGATCCTGGCGATATCTTAAATCACTGATTGCTTACTGCAATGTTTTCGTTGGCACTTTTTCAAATTAATTTCTTAATGATATTCGGTAAAGATCATTTCCCTGTGATTCTATCAGCGCCTGATTTTCTTGAAATCACCCGTGTTGAGTCTTGGCCTTGGTAAATCTCCAAACATTTCAGTTCCATCATGGACACTTTGGGCCAACGCTTTCATATTGGCGACCATTTTATCTGGTTCTGGTGCAGGCACCTGTTGAGAAAAATAAGCAAATCAATATGGGCCTGGTCTCCATTTATATTTGGTGGGATTAACATTGAGAATACAAAGTTATGTCTCGTCTCTGAAGCTTCTGTAAACAATGGTTAAGAAAGCATGAAGAGAAATAAACATGGCGCCAGCCAGCAATTTTAAAATCAGAAACCCACTATTTATTTTACTCGTACATACCAAGTTTGAATAAAATTAGCCCAGGCATCAATGAGAAACAGTTGATATGTTACAAATGTGATTTTTATGACTGCTAGTTGGTAAAATTTCAAAAAAGAAAAAAAAAATACTTGAAACCAATTCTGTAGAGCATGAATGAGTAACGGGTAGAACATTTGTACATTCAAAAAAATTATCACAAATCACAACAAACGATAATAACCCACCATAAGCGATGTCAATTCCCAATTTGCATAAACAAATCACCCAGGTGTGCCTGAGGTATGATTGATGACATTTTTAAATGCTGATTTTTGGGACAAAATAGGCAAACAAACCAAAAAATTAAAAGACATGCATATGTTTATATTAATATATACACCATTATGAATTGTCTTAGCACCAACTTTGCTAGAACCAAGTTGTCCTGCTTATTAATTCACTCACTGCTTATAAATCACAAGTC